ACTACTAGCGTGGCACTTGTTACTACTAGCGTGGCACTTGTTACTACCAACCCAAACAGAGCTTTTCTTTTCTGAACTTACTTGCTAGGGACGCTTCGACTCATGTTGCGGGGCCGTGGTCATGTGTTGGTCAAAACTGGTTTCTGCAAACTCCTTCGGACCCGTTTTCGGCTTCGTTTGACCGGTAGCGGTGGGTGCTTGGGGTGTCAGGCCGTGGCTGTGCCGTGTGGGTCGTCAGCACACGCGGTTCGTAAGCTGTGACCTGAAGCTCGGCCTCTCTCTTTAGGCATGCTCCGTGTTAGGCATGCCATTCTTCTTCCATGTCTTCTTCCTCCTACTACTACCTTCTTTTACTACTATTATCTTCTACTACTAGTGAGTAGGAGTGGGCAGCAGCGTTGGGTCGGAGTGGTAGGAGGAGTACAGGGTGAAGAATAACTATACCAAACAAAAAACTACATCCTCTTGCGCCAACTCCCAGCCTGTGCAAACTGCCTTCCCATCCAGTGCTGGGTGCAAAATCTGCTCTTGGAGTCTTCATGTTCAGCGGAACAGTCACCTGTTCAGCGAAACAGTGGAAGAGACCATTCATGTGATCATTCGTGAAGCCTAAAAGACGTCTCTAGTCCTGTACGAAAACTCTTCACTCAACTTCCAGAACTCTCACTCTGCCGTCAGCTTTGCACCTGCACACCCTCCAGATCAGGAGGGAAAACATACGCTGGTGAGTCAGAGAGGTAGCACCATGCACGTAGAACCTGTCCAGCCTGAAATGGTGCAGGTTCAAAAGGGAAAACGGCATTGACCGATGGACAACATCGCGTTTTGATCATTGCGACTGAGGCCCCAACGTCTACAAAATGAGTCAGATGAATGGTCACTGTATTCTTGCCGGCCGTGGCCTGATGTTGCAATATCCAAGCACCGCGAACACAGCGACCACAGCGATCTATCCTATCTTCTTCTATGGTGTCTTTAGATCTCTATGTAATGATTGCGTAGAAAGCCAAGAACAAACATCGAGCAATTTTGTGTTTTTTCATGTCCGTTCTGGCCTGACACGCCAAGTCGAAACACCAAGTCGAACACGGGTGTTTCTCTCGCTGTCTACTCGCTTCAACGGTGACCAACGTCGCTGCTCGTCTCCAGCCTGGCTGGAGGAGGCACCCCAACCGGTGTCACCGGATCCAGGTCCAAAGGTAAAGAAACTGGAATCGGGATATAAGCCCCACCTGAGTGCCATTCAGTGCCGAAACAGAACGAAGTTTGAAAGAAAAGAACGAGTGAAAAAGAAGTGAACGGGTGAAACTCACTGACGAGCTCCAGCGCCAACTCCGAGCTGAGAACACACACGACTTCTTAGCCCATCACTGCGTCGCGGGGCCGTCGTTCAGGACGCAACGAATGACACCACCTCCGTCGTTCATGACGCTGCAGATTCAAACACCAACTTGGTGAACAGCTACTCACTAGCAAGAAACCTGAAACAAAGACAGCACTGGCATCAGCCACATCAGCTCTCAAAAGACCATTCACATTTTAAACACCTTTCAGCAAAAGAACAAACCATCCTTCCAGATCATGTGAACCTGACTTCTTCTTCTTCTTCTTCTTCTTTCTTCTCTCTTCTTAATTCTTAAAGGTCTTGTGACACGTGTTTTGGCAACGCTCAACAAGCCGCGTGCCTCCATAAGCCGAGTCCACCAGAAGCCCCAGAGAATGTGAGTTCACAACCTAGGCTCCGTGCCGAAATTCGCCTTTGGGAAGAGCCGAAGAACCGAAAAGGACAACATGAGACCTTTGGTCTCGGCCTAAAGGTCTCGCTGACAGCCCCTCTTACTACGTGCCTCTTTGGCCTCTCTGGTCGGCGTTGCCTTGGGTCGTCCTTGCTCCTAGTAGCGATGCCAGGAGCCCCGTTCGTAGCGTTTCTTTTCTTCAATTCGGCCCAGCGTCGTAAGAGTTGTCGATTTCAATGCCGCGCACTGACTCCGTGACCCTCAAAGCTCCTGCGTAACTAGGTGCCGCATTCGCAGCTTAGAGAATCCGATGAGAACGACCAGCCCAAAGGTCTAAAAAAAATAGAATACAAAACACACCAACTTAAAACACAAATCAAGGAATTCACTTCGCCAGGGTTCTTGCATGCTCTTGCACTTCGTCGCCCAGTCCTGCGGTGTGCGTGTATGAGGCTCCATCTGCACCTCACACGTCTCAAGTCTCAACTAGGAACAAATGAACTAGAAACAAGTGCCTCGCTAGTAGTAACAAGTGCCTTACTAGTAGTA